TTTTGTTCACGGATAGGTGTTTGTGCTCCAGGGAAAATTCTCTGGATTGGTTCTGATCATACATAAGTCAGAATATTCATCTCCCCCATTCCAAGTGTCAGCCATCGGTCAGCTCACCTGAGCTGTGGCTTTGGTGTGTGAGTAAATGCCTTGTGATCGGTAGGAACAGTAAGCATCAAAGGAGAGATGGGACCGGTAGTGCTGAATGTTCCATGTGGAGGACCTAATATGAGATGGAGGGCAGCCATCTCGTAGTCGCACAGGATTTGGAGAGGCATAAGGAGAAAACAAGACCTTTTGAGTCGTGGGAACCAGGGATGGAAATCTGGGTGTTGGGAGTAAGCCCGTGAGTTGGGGGAGAGGGTGCCAACATGCCGGACTGGAACAGAGGAGGCAAGCTGGAGCCCAGCAGGAGATAAAGTTGGGAAGATAGCATGGCACCTTGCCTGACAGTGGGGAATTTGGCTTCTATCCTATAGGCAAATGGAGAATGATGAAGACTTTTGTCCTTGAGATGTTTGAGGAATGCAAGTGTCAGTTCTGCCAATTACTGTGTGATTTGAACAAGCCACTTATTGGTTTTTGTTTGGTTTGGTGTTTTGCTCTGTTTCATTTGAGTTAATTTTTCTTTGTTTGGTACTGGATATTGAACCCAGGGCCTCACACATACTAAGTACACACACTAACACTGAGTACAACTCCAGCCCCTGACAGCGTTTTTAAGCCTGCTTTCCTCATATTGGGACAACTATGCCATAAGAATTAGAGATATGTCTGAAATCCCCAGCAAGATACCTACCACAAAGAAAATGCTTCATCTCTGTCGGTGGATGATTCTGATTTGTGACTTGGATTTGAGGGAGCAGGACGAATTTGAAAGCGGATAATGCTGGCAAGAACCTAATTGTTCAGAAAGATGCCTATGCCGGAAGTAGCAGTAGGGAAACCTAATTAAGCAGCCTCTTGGCTCTGTGTATTCCAGATGCCACCAGTATCCAGATGCAGAAGGAAGTCAGGGTCAGAATCCTGAATGTCATGATGGTGAGGAAGACAGGCCTGGTGGCAGACTGCTTCTGTTGGAGGCCTAAGGGTTTTTTAAAAAGAAATTATCTAGTTGTCGTATCAGGGATTGAACCTATAGCCTTTGTACTGAACTACATCCCCAGCCCCTTTTTATATTGAAACAGTCTCACTAAGACATTAAAGGTCTAACTTTGCAACTACACGCCTATGGGGCAAGTCACATACTTTCTTTGTGCTTCCCTTTCCTCATCTAGAAATGGGAAACAACCTAAAAATTGTTGTGAGGATGAAATGATTGATGTGCAGTTTTTAAAAATTGCAACAACACCTGTGAGAAAATAAATACTAAGAATGAGCTGTTGTTCTGGGATTCTATAAGGATTTTTTTTTTTCACCAGTGGGGACTGAACCCAGGACCTCTACACAGAGTTCCATTCCCCATCCTTGCTACTTTTTAATTTCGTATTTTGAGACAGGATCGACTTAAATTGTTAAATTGCGCAGCTGGGCTCAAACTTGTAGTCCTCTTGCTTAAGCATTCTAGGGTGCTGGGATTACAGGCTATACCACCAGGTCTGGCCCTGTGAGAGAAATTCTGAAGCACAGAATGAAGAGAAGGGGAACTAGGAAGCAGTCTTGAAGGTCTCATCAGTTTACTAGCTCTTCTCAAGTAAAATGTCCCCAGTAAGATTAGGAATAATAGTTCGACTTAGGGCCCAGAAGAAAACAACAAAGCCTCTTGGTAGCAAGTGTCTGTCACAAAGCACACCATCCTCACACTTATCTGAGCAGCCGGAGCCAGTGTCTGGTTCTTAGGAAGACAGGATATACAAAAAAGTAGTATATCATATGCAGCAAGCTGGCTGGCCAGCACAAGGAAAATCTGACAGGAGGAGACAGCACAGCCATAGAAATAAGAAAGTTGGTTTGTGTTACTCAGGTACAAGGATTGGTTTCCACAAGTAACTCCCCTAGAGGTTATCATCCAAAGATGAAATAATGTTTAGTTCATTGCTCTCTGTTTAGGAGTATAAATACTTTAGATTTGCCATTTTAAAATCATTAAATGGTAAGAGTTTTGATCCATGAAGAAAAAGTCTGTCATCTCGAAAAAAATCACTGGACACGACACAAGTAAAATGAAGTGATCCAGAAAAGATGTACTCACAAAACAGACAAATTAAGGAATGCATTTTGAAAAGGATAATTGTAGGTAATTTTTCAGGATTAACTCCTCTTTTGAAATAATTAGTATGACTTCCATTAACCTAAAGGGGGAAGGATAACTTACTATCATCAGTGCTTCTCATAGAATCAACTACATAAAGCTTCAAGAAAAATCTCATTTTGGGCCAGGGATTTAGCTCAGTGATTCGGTGGCCTGCCTGGCAAGCGCAAGGACCCGAGTTCAATCTCCGGTACCAAAAAAAAAAAAAAGAAAAAAGAAATCTCATTTTAAAAAATACTTAATTTATAAAGTTAAGTTTGATAGGGAAAAAGTAACAATATACACTTACTGCTAAATATTTGTGAAGACCAAATACCAAATTACTATTTTAGATTTTAACTTATAAATGCCTTATTTTACCTGGCCATTTAAAAATAAGGATGGTTGCTTTTAAAATCTAGAAATCAGGCTGGGGATTTAGTTCAGTGGTTAGCCACCTGCCTCACAAGCACCAAGTTCCATCCCTGGTATCAAAAAAAAAAAAAAAAACTAAAATTCCACCCAAAATTACCAACTATTTGAGTACTTTCTTATATCCTTGATGCCCTGATAAATGATGACTATCACAAGGGTTTTCCTGTGCTTTCTGCTATAAGATACTTAAAAGAACAGAAGAAATACATAATAAATTCTGAAAGAAATTTTCTTTTAAGAATTCATGAGGTTGGGGATCTAGCTCCATGGTGCTGCTGCCTGCCTTGCAAATGCAAAGTCCCAGGTTTGATTCCTGGTACCAAAAAAAAAAAGGACTCATGAGGAGTTAGAAGTTAAAATGTGTACCATCCAGGGAGCTCAGATACATCCCCTATTGGGCTCAGTGGCCACTATCTTGCTGATTTTTCAGTTTACTAACAAAGTGAAAACAAGACAGACCAGCACAGCTAATAGTCCAAGGATAAACAACAACGTAAAGGGACCTATATTTTTACTACAGGCCACTTTCATGGGATACAGAGTTAGGGGTAGTAAAATGAATATTTTGTGACTAACCCAAAGTTTAAAAACAAACCTTAAGTAGACACATGTATTATCAGTCATTATGTATTTTATCAAGCATTCCCCTCCCAAAGAAGGCCTTTGCACCTTTCAATTTTACTATGGAAGAAAAGTACACTGAATTGTAGACATGTGCTATAAACAAGATTCACCTAATTACAGAAGAAAAGCTGAGAAACAAAATAGTGAGGATAGGTGCAGTACAGTATATCATGCCAAGGATTACAGGAGTGGTGGCGTACCTATGATGTGTTATTTGTCTTTTAAGACAAAAGCTATTAATGTATGAGTTGTTTTTTCTAAACTAAAACCTCATATTCAGGTTTAATTGCAGCATTAGCACTTTCTGATAAGTGGGTTTTTCTTTTCCTTTTTTTTTTTTTTTTTTTT